AGTATCTACTCTGGAGGCAGAGACAGGTGGATTCTGTGAGTTTGAGGCCCGCTTGTCTACAGAGCTAGTTCCAGTTCTAGGACAGCTAGGACTGTTACACAGAGAAACTCTGCCTTGGAAAACCAAAAAAAAAAAAAAAAAATTCAGGCAGGTGCCAAGCACTGTGCATTGGGCCCCCTTTTCCTTTTAGAGCAAGGTCAGGCTGCAGATGACAGTCAACATCTGACTCCCCCTTTCTAAGAAAACAGTGAAAACTTAGTCCATGTGCCTGATAGCCATAGGAGCCAGAGCCAGACACTGGCAAACAGGGCTTGGGAGTAGATTGTAGACATTGAAAAAGCTTATGTATAAAAACACATGCAGAAATGGTTCCGAGTGATACTCAGGGAGGACTCTGGTACAGAGCGATACTGGGGAGGATTCTGACTGGCAGAGTGCTGTTGAGGAGTGCATTATATGGGAGTCTTTGAGGACAGAGAAATCAGCCGGGCAAACTGGGGTAAGTGACTTTTGAACCAAGCCTTGATGCATTGTTAGGTGTCTCACAAAATTGAAATTAAAAAAATAAAATCTTAGCAGATCAAGAGACCCAGTGTTATAAAGCAGTTTGGAGACATTCCTTTTGGAAGTTAAACTAATTGTGTGGCCACAAAGAGTAGGAGGCAAGTGTCATGAGGCCCAAGGAGAGGAAACTGATGTTCCTGGGAGTGGCTGTTTCACTTACATGGTGTGGACCTACCCAAAGACCACCCAGAAAGGCTCTCAATGGAAGGAAGAGGACTTCTGGGAACCATTTTATTCAGTGACAGCATTTTCCAGGGAAGAGAAAACACCTCAAGAAACTTCAACTTCCTTGTTGAAGGCATGTCTCTGTCTTAGGGTAGGTGGTGGGCAGGGACCCTAGAGTAAAAATTTTTTTTAGCTCCTTTGTCCACAGAACACTATGGGTAAGAGTCTCTGCTTCAACTGTGTAACAGGTCTAGAAGTAACTATCTGCTTGTGACTGTGAAAATTGAGTCTGTTGTGTAGCAAAGTTTCAAATATGTATAACTTTGAACTTACCAAGAAGTCATTTGCTTTTGAAATGGGGTCTCATGTAGCTGGCTGTCCCTCAAGGGCTAACCCTCCTACCTCTGTCTTTCTCAAGTGGAGATTATCAGTGTGTACATCGTGCCCTGCTTTCCCAGAATTCTTGTGTGTATGTGTTTGTGTGCTCATGTGTACATGTGGAGGCCAGGCCTCAGAGTGTTCCTTAGGAGCTGTGTACCTTTACATATAGACATATATGTACTCACTAAACAGGCTAGGTTAGCTGGCCAGTGAGCCTGAGTGATCTGCCTGCTTCTGCCTCCCAGCAGTGGGAATTACAAATGCATGCAACCACACATGGCTTTTATTTATTTTTGATTATTGTTTTGAAACAAGGTCTGACTATGTAGCCCTGGCTGGCCTTACACTCAGAAATCAACCGGCCTCTGCTGCCTCCAAGGGCTAGGATTAAAGGTATATGCCACAACACCTAGCAATATTCCTGGCTTTTAAAATGTGGGTTCTGGGGATCAAATCATGTCTTAGTGTTTGAAAGGCAAACATTTTACCCTCTGTGCTTTCTCTCTGGCCCTTCCCAAGTAGTTCCAAATACTAATTTCTGGATACCTTAGTCATCTGAAACAGGACACTCAGAAGAGACATGTAAGTACTACAGGGACTGAATGAGAGCCCTCCATTGTAAATTGATACCCCAGCATTGTTTATCTTCCAGAGCCTGGTCATTGCTAGAATGTTTGGAAAAGCTGTTTCTGAATATACAGTAAGGCTGAGTGTCCCTTGAGTCAATCACCAGTGTGTAATGCACCGTGAGTCTGCTGGGAAGTAACACTAAGTGTTTGCTGTGTGGATCAAAGACTCTCTGAAGTGCCTTACCTGTCCTATTACCTAAGCGTCCAGTGACCTTTTACCATGCATACCAGACTACATAAAAGATCTGAAGTCTTCCTGAGCAACTTGGCAATGTCATGTCCCAAATGAAAATTCAAGAAAGTTAGGAGCAGAGTGATGAGTGGGTAGAGGACCTTAGTGCCAAGCCTGATGACCCAAGTTCAGTACCCAGGACCCACATGGTAGAAGGAAGGAGCCAACTCCTCCAAGTTATTCTCTGACCTTCATATATGTGCTGTGGCACACAGACACACAAGCCCATACAGAGAAATAGGCAGGCAGGTGTACACCAAGGCACTAAATGTGTAAAGTGAAAAATGGCTGAGAGTGTGTAGCTTAGTAGTAGTAGTACATTCACCTATGAAAGTCCTGGTTTTAATCCTTGATCTCACCAAAAACAGAAGAAATGAAACCCTTTGAGACAGATACTCTACAGTTCTGCAGTCTCACAGATGAGGAAAATGAGGAGTGTGGTTGCTAGGTAACTCACCTAATGTTTCCCACAGGGCTTATAAAATGGCAAGGACACAATTTGACCCTAGGTGTGTCTCTTATCCTGAGCTATTGTATTGAACTGCTTAGGACCCTAGCCAGGAAAGACAGAGTTTCAGGTCCAGCTCTGCTTCTTTTCCAGGATTCTGACCTTAGCATTTTGTTTCTTCATTTCAAACACAATGTGAATACTTGTAGTGTAGCATTGTTTTGAAGACCAGAGGTCAGACATGGGAAATGGCTGCCACAGTAAGGGGTGCCCTTAGTGTGTGTGGCCTCTTATGTTAGATGATAAAATCCTGTACACACTGTAAACATGGGGTACCTGCTGATGCCCTTTTAAAGTAGAAATAGATGTCAGGGATACAGGTGCACGCTTTAATCCCAGCACTCAAGAGGCAGGGGCAAGGCAATCTCTGTGAGTTCTAGGTCAGCCTGGTCTACAGTGAGAGTTCCAGGACAGCCAGGGCTACACAGAGACCCTGTCCCCCCCACAAAGACCCAAAAACCAGTAGAAATAAATGCAGTAGAGATAATGCTGAGCATGTTTTAAAGAAAATAATACCAGCCAGAATTTAGACTTTTTTTATATTTTCTAAGAATGCCCTTATGTATGAAATAATATGTCTCAGTTGCAAAATATGTTGCAAATATGTGATACATTTATATAGGATTAATATTGTAGATTTTTATTTACATATATGTGATGTATATGTTTATGTGTATGATATATTTGTATGCATATATTTTTGAGATAGGATTTCATATATCCAGCCTGGCTTCCGACTTGCTACATAGCTGGAAAGGATAGTAAGTTTCTGATTTGCCTCCCTCTGCCCAAGTACTGGGATGAATGTTATGTGCTGCTGTGCCCAATCTGTGTGGTGCTAGGGATCCAAGCCAGGGCTTCTGGCATTCTAGGCAAACACTCCATCAACTGAGCTACACCTTCAGCCCGTGTTTATGCTTTGCTGTTGTTGCTTTCTTTCTTTTTTTATAAACAGGGTTTCCCTGTGTAGCCCTGGCTGCCCTGGGACTTTCTTTGTAGACCAGGGCAGCCTCAAACTCAGAGACCCACCTGTGTCTGCTTACTGAGTGCTGGGATTAAAGGCATACACCACCACTGCCTGACTTTGCTTATATGTTTTAAAGAGAATTGTACTTTATTTGCATACTTTTGTTACTTTTTTAAATTTTGTTTTTATTATTTTTATCTTATGTTACCTGCATGTGTGTGCACCAAGGGTGTGCCTGGTGCCTGCAGAGGCCAGAAGAGAGCATTGGATCTTCTAGAGCTAGAGATAATGGATAGTTGAGAGCTGCTGTGTAGGTGCCAGGAATTTAACCTGGGTCCTCTGCAAGAGTAGCCAAGTGCTCTTAGCCCCAGTAGTATCTCTCCAGCCCTTTTGTACATATTTGTTTGTTTGTTTGTTTGTTTTTAAAGAATAAGAATATCCGGACTGGAGAGATGGCTTAGAGGTTAAGAGCACTGGATATACTCCAAAGATCCTGAGGTCAATTCTCAGCAACCATATAGTGGCTCATAACCATCTCTAATGAGGTCTGGTGCCCTCTTCTGGCGTGCAGGCACACATGCAGGCAGAACACTGTATACATAATAAATAAATAAATCTTTGAAAAAAAAATATAAGAATTTCTTCTTACCCATTTGAAGATTTTTTTAAGTACTATCATCTGTAGGGGGATTCCCCCCATCCCCCAGAATTATTGCAACAGCTGATTCAGACCTAGAAATAGTTTTAAGCAAGCATAAATACTCTGGCTGGCATACTTTTTAGAAATGTACTTTTTTTGAATGATAAGGTAAAAAAATGGCTGGTAACTAACTGACTTTTGCTCTCTTGTGGATCTGTGTGGCTTGTGAGTTTCAAGGCCTGTTCTCTTGTTTTGGCTTGCCTCGGATCCCTAGGGTCAAACCGTTATTCTGCCTCAACCACCCAAGTCCTTGGTACCTACGGGCACTTTTTAGTGCCTGTCAACCGTGTCCCCAGAGCTCTACATTAACTAGCCTAGACTTAATTATTACCACCTTCTCTGTTTTAAAATGGGATTGCTTAAAGTGATTTTGCTGGAGATTATAAGGTTCGCCTCAGCAGAGTAAATTATCTTCCCTGTGTGCCTTTCTAGAAAAAGTAATAATAATAATAATAATATGGCTTCCGTTGTCATTTATAAATGTTGCTGCTGTTCAGTCAAGGACGTACTTGCACCTCTGAATCTTACTTTTCTGGCACATATCTGGAGTATCATGAGTGATTGGTTTTAGGAATGTCTTTCCTCAAGTCAGCTGCCCCAGTCCAATGCATGTCAGAACCATCTAGAGCACCTCGGAAGCACAGTGTGCAGGCAGCCTTCACAGTCTGCGAGAGCCACTGTAGCAAAGTGCAGGACTGGGTAAGATTTGGATGAGGCTGCAGGTGAAGAAGAGGGAAGACTGGGATCCATGCCTTTCCTAACATCTGTGAAATGAAAAGACATGAGAAACTGCAACCCACGTGTGTCCCCAGAGGCCACAGAGTAAAGTAGCCTTTATTCTTTTGTCTTTGTAGGCATGGAAGGACTTTGATGAAACTTTAAACAGTTCCACAAAGGATGCGCTAATGGATGACAGAGACGCTCCTGCAAACCGTCTTCAGATAGGACCACAAGATGGATGTCATCCGGGTGACAGCGTGGAAAGGAGAGTAACGCCCTTGCCTTCTGTCTCAGATGAAAATGAAAATCAGGTTGACGGGGACAGGCCTGCGGGTCTGACCAGCAGCCACAGTGCGATGGGAAGAGCTACAGTATCTGAACAGGACAGTCTCAACAATAATGAAAGCTGCCTGCCCAGCTGTGAGGCAGCCCCCAGTGAGGCAGCAGAACTCACTCCATGCGAAGGTACCAGAGATGATCAGCCCTCCTCGGGACAGGACAAAAAAACACCTGGAAAAAGAAGCCCAAGAGCCAGAAAAGGCACGCCTAAGAAAGTACCTCCAGGTAAGGCCTTCAAATTATCTTACTGCCCTTTAACAAAAAACCAACATTCCTACTTGCTTTTCTTCTTTTAGTCTTGTTCTGCAGCCATACCTATGGGCCCCACTGTGTGGTTCATTACAGTGTCACCGCCTGTAGAGGAACCGTGACCTTTTATAAAGCTACGGTTGTCAGCTGCACATAAACTTTCCTCCTCCATCACCGTGGCCTAGGGCTCTGCCCTGTGATGGTCTGTGCTGGTACAATTTCACATGGGCTCTTTCTGCCTCACTCAGTAAGTGAACAACATACAGTGAACTTAAATCAATCCCTGCCTTGTACCAGTGTTGAATTAGGCACCTGGTTTGGATATCTGCATGTCTTTGGTTCCAAAGTAATTCAGATGTTCCTTCAGAATACAGTTTGGCAGGTGAGCCTGCAGCTGTGGAGTTTTGTGTCCGACTCACCATGAACTTGTGGGGGAAAGCCACCACTGGCGATTTTTGTGCCTGTTTTTATTTGTTTGGTTGATTGGATTTTTCGTTTGGTTGTTGTTTTGTTTCATCAGAGACGCAACAGTGCTGGCTGGAAGTCCTTATGGGAACACACTGTACCCAGGCCAGCAGTGTTTGCAAGAGGCCTAATGAATCAGGAGAATGTCTCCTCCTCCCTTCTGCTCTCTTGTGCTTTGGCTGATAAGAATCCATATCCTGGGTTTTATTTGTAGTTTTAAAATTTAGGGTAAACTATAAAACTATGGGGCTGAGAGGGTAGCTTAGTAGATGAAGTCCTTGCTGAACAAATACGAGAGTTCAGATTCTTTATTCCTTATTTTATTTCTTTAAAATTTTATTTCTTTTTATTTTATGTGCATTGGTGTTTGGCCTGCATGTATGTCTGTGTGAGGGTGTAGATCCCCGGAACTGGAGTTACAGACAGTTGTGAGCTGCCATGCTGGGAATTGAATCTAGGTCCTCTGGAAGAGCAGCCAATGTTCTTAACCACTGAGCTCTCTCTCCAGTGGTCTAGAGGCCTGTATATACCCCAGTGCTATTAGGTAAAGAAATGATTCCTGGAGCAAGCTGCTACATAGACAAGTGGCAAGCTCCGACCCTGAGAGTCCCTGCCTCAGGAAAGAAAATAGACAGCCAATGAGGAAAACTCCTAGCCCTAACTTCTGGCCTATCACCCTCTGTATGCACACACCTGCACACATAGACCTGTACACACATGTGCCTACAGACATACAAGCACTCAGAGAGCCTCTTAACTATTCCTTTATTTAATGAGGTTACCATAATTGGCTCCAGTAAAGATAACTTGATGGTTCATGTTCCTTTGTCTTTTCCGTGTTGACTTAAAATATGTAATTTTTGTTAAGGGGTGTGAATACACTTTTTTTTTTTTTGGTAAAAGATCTGGTGATAAGAATGTACATAGTGCCGTATGTATTTCCTTGCTTTGTTATATAAACGGTCCTTAAAAGCACATCGGCTGTCTTTCCAGTCTGATAGTGCCATCTTTAAGAACTGAGACTATCTGGGAGTGGTGGCTCACCCCCTAATCCCAGCATTGGGAGCTAGAAATAGAATTGCCAGCCTTGACTACATAGTGAGTTCCAGGTCAGCTGACCATAGAGCGATCGAGAAAGCCCAGTAACCCCCATACCTGCTAGCAGTCATTTCCTAGGAGCCATCCCACTTGAAGGAAATTGCTAATTTATTTTTATCTCTATAGATGTGTCCTGTCTGAACATTTTTTTACTAGTGGAGTCATACAGTAGATGGTCTTTTATTGGCTGGTTTCTTTCATGTGTCACATTTTCCTGGTTCACTCGGGCTGTACTATATATCCGCACTCCCTTTCTTTTTATGGCCAAGGAATGCCCCATTGCATGGGTGCAGCATATTTCCAGGTACTCATGTGTACACTGGTGAGCATGTTGGCTATTATGCTTTTTGTTCGCTGTGATGCCTCTATGAACATGTTTTTATTTCTCTCATTTATCAATGGGAGGTGGTTCTGCATGGTGGGTAGCATCGTGTTTACCTGGTGGCCTGTTTTCCTATGTGGCTCCACCAGTCTATATCCCCACTAAAATATGGGAGAGATACAGTATCTGTCTCTTTGCCAACATTTGTTAATGTCTGGTTTCTTTACAATAGCAAGTTGTTAAAACGGAGATATAATTAACAGACCACAAAGTTTGCCTTTTAAAGCATACGGCACAGAGGTTTAATTATAGCCACAGAACTGTGCAGCCATCATCAGTATTGGATCCCCTGTAAAAGAAACTATGAACCCATTAGTAGTCACCTCCCATTTCTCCAGTTCCTCAGCCCCTGGCAATCAATGGCTCATAAATTTTGTATGGCTTAACAGACAAGTTCAGATTAAGTGTCTAAAGATTGCCATAACAACATTTGATGTTTACTCAGTGCTGGTCACCATGGTATCTATGCATCACACAAAACAACTCAGGAAATAGCCAGAAGCAGAGGTAGGCAGCATGTGGAGGGAGATGGAAGAAGGCAGACTCTTAAACCGAGCTGCCAAGTTCAGCACTTCATTCGGCTGCCTGGAGTTGGGCCAGTATAGCTAGAGCTCTAGGTTTGAAGCTGTGCTATGCCTGATGCTACCCTTGTGATCTGAGATCAGGAACTCAGTTACTTCCTTGTCTCAGCATATCTACAAGGAAGCTGATACTGCATATCCTGCAGCATTGTCCTCAGGCAACAGACCTGTGCATCAAGCAGCCAAAAGACAAGTGTTTATGAGTGAGTTCTTGTGCTCGCTGTATCACAGAACATTCTTCTGGATGACATGTCTTAGTTCAAGATTAAGGAATAAACCTGACTGAGTCCACCGTAGCTCTTTTGTCTGTGGTACTAAGAACTGAACCTGGGACCTTGTCCTGTGTTTAGTGTTAGGTAGAAAGTGCACACTGGCATGTTACTGATACCTAACTTAACAACTGGTGATGCCATAGAGCATGGACTCCTGGTTGCATCTTATATGTTTGACTTGGACCATAGAAGAATTTTTCTAACTGGCCTCCAACTCCATGTGTCTAGTCCAGTCACACATGAATTCTGAAGATCCAAACTGTTCCTTGTGCTTGTGTGACAGCCACTTTATCCATCAGCCTTGTCTCCAGCCCAAAATATATTCATTAATAAAGAAAGAAGGAGAGAATTCCCCCTGGCCTCCTAAGAAATTCTTTCAACTCTAGAGACCTAAGACAGCACACACTATCTGTCATCTAGTTCTTTAGGTCAGGAGTCTGCCCTTGCTCTCTGGGCTAAAGTCAGCCAACCACGTTCTTCCTAAAACCTTTAAGGGGGGAATCAGTTACCCCACTTTCCAGCTTCTTGCCCAGTGTGTGCGTCCCTTCCTCCGTCTTTCCAGCCAGCGATTACTTGTAGAGTCCTCGCACATGCCTCTTTGACTCTGCTGCCTGTGTCTTTGGTGTTTAAGGGGCCCATGCTCACACAGGTCTCTCAAGTGGTCCAGAGTGACCTCCCTGTTCAAAGACAAGTGATGAGCAGCCTTACATCCATCTGCTGCTTTAGCTCTCTTTGTAAAATGAGGGAATGGACAGACTCATGGAATTGGGACATAATCATTTTGGGGGGCCTTTACTCTGCAAACCTGAAGATGTTTTAACTAAGGCACGAATTATGCTTTACATAACAACAAAGTGTTACACTTTATAAATATTGTCATTACATTAATTCATGGAATCACAGAGGACTACTTAGTCAGGCATTTATTGGGTTATGTATACCATGTGCTCTTGAACTGCCTTTCAGTTTCAGTGAGGGAGCTAAGTAAAAGCAGGGGCACTCTAGCAGAGGAGGAAGCCTTACAGGGTCAAGCACACCCTTAGCAGTGGAGTGCAGTGTCCAGGGAGAACTGTGAAAGCTTCCAGGAGGAACTGATGTCTAAGCTGAGCTAGGACAAGTGAGATAAGGATGAAGACCAAGGGTGTCAGAGTAGCCCAGAGCACACAGAGAACGTTTTTGCAGATCTCCATATCCTTTTTGGCTGAGGAGAGTACAAGGGAAGGATGAGTTAAGGGGAAATAGCAGAGTGGAGTGCACACGACTTAGGAGATTAACAAGGTACAGATTATAAATATGCCATGTTATATAATAAGAGTTTGATCCTTCCCAACAAGCTTGACAGTAACACAATGGGATCCACAACAAGTGTGAAACAAGTCGGGGCAGTGAAGTGTAGCGTAGAAGGAGACTGGTAAGGGGCTTTGACAGTATCTGTGTGAGGGATGCTGGGACTCTCCACCCAGGAGGAACAGAGATGATTATCAATGCAGCCTTCAGATTCTTCCCCCAAAGTACATTCAGTCCTGGCAAATTGATATTTATTTAAGAAATAGAATTTCATTCATGGTGAAAATGAAAAAATATTATACCTCCAAATCCATATTTTGCAGTTATGTATAAATATGGGTGGATATAGACAAATGTAAAGATCAGGGGAAATTTAGGGGCTCCTGTTTGGGCTATTTGAGATGTATCCCAGTGTAACTTGGATTGGCCTCCTGACTCCTCTCCCTGGCTACTGGGGTTGACTAGGCATGGACCACCATGTCTGTTCTCTTGCCAGTGCTTCAGTGCTGATGTGAAATGTGCCATATGACTGCATTTTCTAAAGTCTCCTTTGGTTTTTAATTTCTTTAGTCTGAATTCTTACTGGACCATGATCCCTACAAAGAGATGATGTCTTATTTTCATTTGTTTAAGATAACTGCTTCCAGGCATCAGCATAGATCAAAACTGCATTTGATTAAAAGTTTCTTGTCTGTGTTGTTTTTTAAAATGATTATTCTGTTATTTGATTCTAATTGTTTAAAACACACACACACACACACACACACAAGCAGGAAAATGAACATTGGAAAGAGCCACACAAATCAAAGTACACACATAAGCTTAATGTTACTTGGCAATAGAAAGGGAGGTGCTGATACAAGCCACAAGATGAGTCTTGAAAGCATTCAT